AAAGTGCCTGCTCAGCATTCAGGCATGGCTGCAAAGAGCAGGCAAGACATTGAATTGCATCAGGAAAGGGCTGGAGAAGAAACGTAAAAATATTGTAGTGCCATTGTTCTCATCACCCTAAATAAGAAACGTTAAGTGGAAGCTTACCTCCATGTGACCTCTCTCGTGATACAAGACTAAAAATAAAAAGCAACACACTTAAATACTCATGCACACACATATCTATCATAATTAACTTTGGGAATGCATTACCATTAGCAGTTCGCTGAGGCTGACAAGCAATGATCTGCATTAATGCAGATAATGAGAATAGCTGTAGAAGACATTACTTATAGTAAGAAAGTGTCTTCCTTCCCAAGAAAAACACTATAAATTCTTACTACTCAAAACCTTACAAGCCACTGAGTAAATAATTTGGGAAGAACTGCTGCAAGGGGTGGGTTAAGCCATCCATTACCTATTCTGAAAAGGAAGAAGACGACAAATTGCAAGTGTCAGGTACTTCAAAGTCTCACAGATGTTACTGAACCCAACATGTCAGTCCCAAGCCGGCATGGCATATTGTCCTCACAGATGTGATACTGATGGCACAGGCATTGTGAACTGCTGAGCTATGCATCAGTCAAGTACACAGACTAGCCTCGAAGGCGGACAGCACAGTGCAGTTATTTTTTTCTTGGTCCTACTCTGTGATCCTTCTAGTCAGTAAGAATAAATGGGTCCTTTTGAGAAACCCTGCTTTCTAGACCAGGGGAAGGGCTGCCTGTGCTGGCCTGGCAAAAATGATGGCCACCATGCAAAAAGCAAGCTGTAGGCTCTTGACGACAGTGAGATACGAGAGTTCTGGGGCTAAGAGCGGTATTGAGGAATGGCACCGAGACTACCAGCAGCTCTCAGGCTGTGCTCGGCTCTGGTGGGGGAGGATGCCGAATCTGCTCATGTGTGGAATTCACAGGCCGCACCCAGTGGCCATGCAGCATTGCCATAAATGGAGTTAGCGTAAAGCCCCTTTTCCACACAAAACTCAAAGGTGCTTCACATCGCTGCTTGGCTTTGTGCCCCACAGCCTGTGCACATGTGCCTTTGGTGCAGAGGGTACCTGGTGCAGCCAGAGCTCCCCCCACGTGAATGTTGTCCAAATAATCTCTTCCACTCCTCCCAGTAATACAGCTACTCAGTGTGTGTGCTGGATGAGCAACTGAGCTGAAAGCTGTGCTCTGAGCAGGTTTGCTGAATTGGGTAGAAGGGGGAGCTCACCTTTAAGTGATGGGCTCAGGAATCCAGGTCCTGGGACTGGAGCTCACCAAACCTGGGTGGTATCATCCTCTCCGTCACCTGGAACTAACCTTCCGCCCCCATGCACCGAGCTACAGTGAATAATGCCACTCCTCTTTTGAGAGAGAGCTTTGAAATCTGCTGATGAGAAAGGATGAGATAATAGTATTAATACAGACAAAAATAAAGCAGGGATTTTCAAAATGTCAGTTGACCAAAGGTGTCATTTTAGCTGAACAAGAGTTTCCAAGCAACAAACGACGGTATGTACAGACCTACTGAACCATGAAAGAGAATAGATAGATATTTGAGTGAAGCAGAGCTGACTCATTTGTAAACCCACATTTTTACATCAGGGTTCCTTGGAAGGCCAGCCTGCGTCCTCTCTTCACTTGCACTAAGCTGCCCTAGAAAGGTAGACAAGGGGAAAAAATCAGCTTAATCATATTAAATATAAATAATGATGAAAAGGTAAACACAAGTCGGTTGGTTTGTTTTCATACAGCACTTAGGCCACCACAGTTAGTCCCTAAACATAAAGCTGAATTATACACTTTTAGTCTGGAAGATGGCTTCATCCCTTTTGATTGTGCAGAAGAAGCATCATGATCAGCAGCCTCCTGATCTGTTCCTCTCAGTCTGAGAGCCAACCCTGGAAAGAAGGTAAGGAATCGCCGTTCTCCTTCCTACACTATTACTGCTTGCCACTGTCCCAGCACCAGCTCTGCACACCTGGTCTGAAGGAGGGTGCAATTCAACAGGCACTACAGTGCTCCTCTGTTAGCATGATGCTGCCGGTCTAAAACTGCCAGCAGGGATCTGCACTCACACATTTTCCTCTAGGAGCTCTTAATGGTTTCCAGTTTTATCCAACATCTCTCTCTTAACACAGCCAGAGACCAACCTCATCAACTCCCATCTCCTATGCAAATATGTCCATTTAGTAATGTCAATCAAAATGATCATTAAAATGGTGCTTAAGGCAATGCCTACAGAGCTCAACAGGACTTAGCTACTCCAGACATGAAAGAAGCTTTTAAGTAGGAGACTGGAAATGAATAGTCAATGTAACTGTGGTGAGATTTCTAGCGTTTGCATAACCAATAAGACCACTCAAAGGTGGTCATGTAGTACTGGTTGTATCTGCAGTCATCTTACCGTAACACAGCAATGATGCATGCAGGTGCCACTGGCAGTCATGGAGAAACCACTCCTAATGGAGCAGGCACTATCAATGAGGAGACACCAAGTTAGATGCTTCCAGGACGATTTTCTTTTTCATAGTCATTCAGCAGCAACATCCATCAGAAAAATCAACAAAATCCCATCTTATGGGACAGTCATTGAGTCAAAGACACTTCTCACAGAAATAAGGCTCGAAAGTGGAAAAGCCCTTTGTCTGTTCCAGACCAGCAAAATCCAAGTCCTCTGCCAACTCCTTGATGGAGCACTGGCATGATTGACCTTCTTTCCCTTGGCAGAGCATATCCCTCCACATATCCCTCATGCGCTCAGCTCAAAAGAAGACTGCTCACAGGTCATGCTTAGGCTTTTCTCTTAATTTATTTCTGGTCCTCCTTTGAATTCTGAGAAATGGTAGCATATGATATCTCTACTGAAAAGAGTAATTAATGTCATCACTTCTGCATCACTGGCCACTCAACCTTATTATTAAAACGCTGCTGTCTTATAGCTAGGGGAGCTGAGGCAGAGAGCAAGAGCTCAGACATTATGAGCACAATGAACGTTTTTGACAGAATCTCAGGGCCCTCCTAGCTCTCCTTGGGGAGGGTTTGCATTCCAGCTTGGTAAGGGTATCCTGGTTTCGGCTGGGATAGAGTTAATTTTCTTCCTAGTATAGTGCTGTGTTTTGGATTTAGTATGAGAATAATGCTGATAATACACTGATGTTTTAGTTGTTGCTAAGTACTGCTTACACTAGCCAAGGACTTTTTCAGCTTCCCATGCTCTGCCAGGCGCACAAGAAACTGGGAGGAGACACAGCCAAGCTAGTTGATCCAAACTGACCAAAGGGGTATTCTATACCATATGACGTAATGCTCAGTATATAAACTGGGGGGAGTTAGCTGGGGAGCCGCGATTGCTGCTCGGGAACTGGCTGGGCATCAGTTGGCAGGTGGTGAGCAATTGCATTGTGCATCACTTGTTTTGTATATTACTATTATTATTATTATTATTTTCCCTTCCTTTTCTGTCCTATTAAACTGTCTTTATTTCAACCCACACATTTTACTTTCTTTTTCCCAATTCTCTCGCACATCCCACTGGGGAGGGGAAGAGTGAGCAAACGGCTGGGTGGTGTTTAGCTGCCTGCCAGGTTAAACCACAACAGTCTTTTTTTTTTGGTGCCCAATGTGCGGCATGAAGGGTTTGAGATAACGACAGATCTGACCAGAGTGTGTTAAAACAATTTGTGATAAGCATTCATTATATTAGTTTAATAGTCACTGGTTGCAATGTTGATTCATTT